GCACAGAGATCTGTGCTTATTGCAGAGACCAGGTTAAAGTGCATTGAGTCAAGAGTCTTATAATGCAAACATTGTCAGTATGAAGATTTATAGTTGAAAGGAGAGATATAGTAAGCAATCTGAACACTAAATTTAGAAAAATTAAGGGAGAACAGTAGGACTGGGTGAGTTTTTAAAAGTATAAGGTATCATACATACACGATTGATGTGTATGGCATATTAATATATTTAATATAGAGACATGCAACTAGAATTGAGCAAAGCGGGCTAATTGTTAGCTCAGTTAATTGGAAATACTACCTAGAAGTGGCAAATTCCTGTTGTGCTCTTCTCTGTAATGAATCACCTACTGCCGCCCTGGTTTTAAGAACTGCCTGATAAGGTAAAATAAAAATCTGATGAGCACAGAGGAAATAGATTGCAACCATTGTTTGTCATTTACCTGTCTCTCATGGTTTTTGGTTAGAGGATATTCAGTCTTTCTTTAAACCAATATTTAATAATATAAATTTTTTCCTGGGATGAGAAAGGTGTGATTATGTGAAGCAGAGTAATAATATTCAGTGCTGTTTTGTTGTTCGTTGCCTTTGAGCCAGAACAGACTCATGGTGTTGCCAAATCCTACAGCAGCTTCATGATTATTGGGATGTTGAGTTCACGGAACAAAAATAGAAACCCACAGTGATCATCAGGAAGGTATACTTTCCTACTTTCTTATTTCTAGTCTCATAGGAGACCATGTTTTTAAAAATATAAATTAATGACAAAAATAATTAAACAAGATGATTGTTTCAGAGTTTTATTAATACACTTCAAAGGTGGATATCAATGTAAAGATAATTTCCTATGTATCAAATTGGATCTTAAACCAGGAGGGAAACGTTCTCTTCTGGTGTATTTTGAGTTCTCAAAATACTTTATTTCTGGTTCACTGGAAATAAAGGAATGAACGTTTCCTTCAGGAAGAGGCTGAATGCTCTGAGGAGAGGGTAAGGAATTTTTCAACCTCCGCATCGTCCCATCAGAGTAACCTTGCTTATGCCGCCTCATCTGACAGCTGAGAGCTGGTGTTGGGGAGAGGATAGCACCATTTTCGTGACTGGTCACATTGCGAGTGGGAGGAAATAGGGCATTGATTCTTGGCCCTTACTTGCAATTAGAAATCATGAACAGTTAATGTGGAGGGATTGTCTGATTATTTCTTATAACTTAAAAAGTGAACACTGATGAATCTTATCAGTCATTACATATGGGGAAGATGTAGTATAGAGTAACTTTGGACATTTTCAGGAAAATCTTCTTTTCAAAGATAAGGTGACCACTCCCAGTCCAGGGCAGGGGTCCCTAGTGTATGTACACAATTTACTAGTTATGTCAACTCTGGAAATTTACTTAGTCTTAGTTTCTCTGCGCTTCCGAAATTCCTGCACCTGTGAAATGGCACAAATGAATGAATGTCAGTCACTTTGCAGGGTTATTGTGATAGTCATTGAGATAATGTATGCCATGTATTAGAAATGCCTGAAAAATAGTGCTGTGAAAGTTAATATTCCTCTATTATTGTTCCAGAGAGCATATTTATAATATTTAGAAAAGTAAAAATCTATACAAAATATGTGATTCGTTTAAGTGGTTAATCCAACACAAAATAAAATGTCTATTTTGGAATCTTTCTTATTGTACTTAAGTGGTTAAATATTAGTGTTTTATCTCCTAAGAATACAAACCTATGTGAATTATATGCCAATAAAACTGTTCATAAAAATTTAAAATATATATATATATGAGTATATAAACCTATTAAATAACATGATATTTACTAGATGTTACACGGTGAACTGGTCCCTAGAAGTCCCTTGTGATGTAAGATTTTATAGCTTTAAATGTGTAACTGCAGATTTTCAGGACCTTAATGTGTGTGTGCGTCTATCTCCTTTTCCCAAGTTTGACTGCCTCTTTTTCTCTGTGATCCATCATCAGCCATGGCAGCATTTCCCCAGGGCTTCCTCATTGAGCTGGAAATTCAATGGTGGTAACTTGTCCTTAGGTCAGTTCTGGTCTCACTGAACTAATCACGTACTTGAGCACATTGAAGTTTCTGAATTCTTTTTAAAACTGGATTTAGATATTAAAACCAGAATCCCCATGTGGACTAAGCCTTCACTGAACTCTCTAGGACCCCTGACCAAGGATAGCAATAGTCTTGTTCTCTGAGTGCATTTGAAAGGTTACTGCAGATACAGTCACTGAGTTTTCAAAGAAAGCCTGGCTTTCTTCCGTGGAGCTGGTGGGGGTTCCAAACTACGGACCTTGGGATTGCAGCCCACCTCACAACCACTATGCCACTAGTAGCTCTATTCACGTTACAATTCTAACTGCAGGTATGCACATTGCCATTGAGTAGATGCTGACTCATTACAACCCCAAAGGGCAGGGAGGAACTGCCCTGGATCTATGCTTACCAGAGTAGAAAGCCTTGTTTTTCTCTCCCAGAAGGGCTGGTGGTTTCCGACAGCTGGCCTTTCAGCTCACAGCCCAAGCCTACACCAACTATGTCACTAGCGCTCCAACATCAGAGTGGGTTGGTTTAAAATTCAACATCTTACCTTTTCTTTTCCCTTTTCACCCATTAACAATTTTACTTTGTTTTGACCTTTTCCTGCTTTCTTTTGGGTTTAGGTGCTTCTGTGTTTCATTGGGTTGTTGATAATGATATTTTTAATATGACTTTCTCAGTATGAAACCCAGGAGAGGTAAATCTATAAAGACAATAACTAGGTTGATAGCTGGTTAGGCTAATGACAAGGGAGGCTGGAGACATAGTGGGAGATAATAATGGATACAAGAATGAAGACAATGATCTAAAATTGATTGTAGTGATGATTGTACACCTCTTTCAATATATTAGAAACATTGAATTATATGGTACATGAATTATATGTCAATCAATTGGCTAAATAAAAAATCAGGAATTAAAACCACTAGATATTATAATTCAAATGCAAAAATGGAAGCCTTTAAAATGGTAGCATTTAGCACTTTGACAACTAGGTTAAAGTTATACTTTAACCTAGTTAAAGTATATAAATTATGCTTATATTTAACCTAGTTAAAGTATAAAATTATGCTTCTTCCTACAGTTTTTAGGGGTTTAAACATTTTTATAGATCTAAAGGCACAGTGGGCTGTGTGGGGCTGCTGCCTGAAAGACTGGTCATTGAAACCCACTAGCCTCTCCTTAGGAGAAAGATGAGTCAGTCTGCTTCCATAATGATTTACAGCCTCAGCAATGGAGCAGTGCTGCTCTATCCTATGGGGCTGTTATGCGGGAGAATCCTTTCGATGGGAATGGGGTTGTGTTTCTGGACAGTTTTTACAAGGAGCCTTTGTGGCACAGTAGTTAAAGAACTTGATTGCTAATCAAAAGGCTGCTTGTTCAAACCCACCAGTCATTACTCAGAATACAGATGTTGCATTCTCTGTCATAACAGTGTCACTGTGAGTTGGAATTTGATTTGATGGCAGTGGAGTTGGTTTGGACTTATAGAAGAGTTCTCGTAACACAATGAGTAACAAACTCAGTTGCTAGTCAAAACACTGGTTTCAAACCACTGGCAATAACGTAAGATACAAATCTAACAGTCTGCTACCATAAAGATTTCAGCCTATGAAACCCTGTGAGCAATTCCACTCTCCTCTAGAGTTAGTCTGAGGAAGAATCAATTGAAAATAATGGCTTGGTTTTTATTACTATTTTTTAACATTTTTGATGTTTATTATTCTAATTGTGTCTAAATCACCTGGCCCTAAAAAACAACAAATGCCAAAGAACTTCAATCAATTTTCAACAAATAAATATCTGCTGATGAGTATGTGGCTAAAGTCAAATATGTTTTTCTTTAGACTAGATATTTTGTAGAATCTTTTCATGCCAAGTGGTCACATTGTGCCTAGTATGTTAAGCAAAATATCAAAGACAATTATACAGGCATTTAAAATGCTACTTAACTTCTTCCTTTTGAGAATCTGTTATGTGCTCAAATTGTACATTAGGTACCTAAGCTCTATGGGTTAATACCAACTAGACCATTGTTTTTGAGCTGTTGAAGGTTTTGATGACTCCATGTGTGCCAAGGAGTGTTTAAGGAGAGATAAATAGACCAGGCGAGACGAGACTGAAAGTGCACAGATCCTTTATTCATAAATGATAGATCTTTATGTGACAGAAGGTGAATTTGATTAACTCCTATTAATGATGTAAAAATAGGCTTGACCTTCACAGAAGCTCTCAGAGAATCACTATTAGCGCTAAAGCTTCTAGTTCTCATTCTATAATAGGAAAAATTTACATCTATTGGACTTCATAGATCATTTCCAAGTCTACGGTTCTCAATTTCAAAACCATTCATTAAGACGACTCAGTCTTGCTTTCAAGATGAATTGCACCTACAATTATATTCTGGCCTACAGTCCCGAGTGATTTGTTAGCATGAACCCTTCCTCAGCTAGGCCTCAGGTCCATGAAAATGGCATACATGTTTTGACTTATGTATTTGAATTCCAATGATTTCCTCTGCCATTTGGTCTAGTAAATCTCAAAATTTTAAAAAGCTTCAAGTCAAATAATCTTTCTTCCGTGTTATCTGCTTTTACCACTTTGCCAAAGAATATGATCTCTCTCATCTTGCTAATGTGTATGGTAGTAATTTATCACTCACTTATATTTGTCTGTTTCTGTATTATTCAATATTCAATATGCATGTCTTATTTTATTATGATAGGCACCTTGTCTGTCCTCTTTCACCTGCACTTCTCCTATTTCTCATCACACTTAGGTTAAACAGATGTTAGTCAATTGATATATGTGGGTATAGTTTGCTAAGTTGAATAGACTTATTTTAAAATGTTATTTATTTGGTATGTAACTAGTAATAGCATGTTGTACATCACTGTAATATGTTCCTGATTTTCTTTTCTTCAGGCGGCTGTGCATTGGTCACATGGCTCACATAAATGAATCAGTGGTTTCTGAATTTGTGCTGCTGGGACTCTCTGATTCTCGAGAACTTCAGCTTTTCTTTTTTGCCATCTTCTCTGTAGTGTACGTGACGTCAGTACTAGGAAACCTCATGATTATTGTCATCATTTTTTCCGACTCCCATCTCAACTCTCCCATGTACTTCCTCCTCAGTAACCTTTCTTTCATTGATATCTGTCAGTCTAATTTTGCCACCCCCAAGATGCTTCTAGACTTTTTCGTTGTGCACAAGACGATCTCTTTTGAGGGTTGCATGGCCCAGATATTTCTTCTTCACAGTTTTGTTGGGAGTGAGATGATGTTGCTTGTAGCGATGGCCTATGACAGATTTATAGCCATATGTAAGCCCCTGCATTATAGTACAATTATGAATAGGAGACTATGTATAATTTTTGTGTCTATTTCATGGGCTGTGGGTATTCTTCATTCTGTGAGCCATTTGGCCTTTACAGTGGATCTACCATTCTGTGGCCCCAATGAGGTGGACAGCTTCTTTTGTGACCTTCCTCTGGTGATTGAGCTGGCTTGCATGGATACTTATGAAATGGAAATTATGACCTTGACTAACAGTGGCCTGATATCATTGAGCTGTTTTCTGGCTCTGATCATTTCCTACACCATCATTTTGGTCACTGTCCAACGCAGGTCCTCCAGCGGGTCTTCGAAGGCCCTGTCCACACTAACTGCCCACATCACAGTGGTAGTTCTTTTCTTTGGACCTTGCATTTATTTCTACATATGGCCTTTTAGCAGACTTCCTGTGGATAAGTTCCTTTCTGTATTCTATACTGTTTGTACACCCCTGTTGAACCCCATCATCTACTCTCTGAGGAATGAAGATGTTAAATCGGCCATGCGGAAATTAAGAAACCGTCATGTGAACTCCTGGAAACACTAGGGAACCACCACGAGAGAGAATAATCTTGAATGGGAGTGAACGTCCTCTAGTGGATCACCGTATCATGCAGCCATCTCTGCTAATAATGTGGTTTATTTAGTCATGGTATTGCTATTCTTGCCCTAAGTGCAAGAAAATTGCATAAATTCACTCTTGAGTTTATTAGTGAAATAGAATATTAATTAATTCTTTCTTTGCTTATAATTATAGATTACAAGTTGTTTTAAAATATTTAGAAATACTTTTTAAAATGTTATAAGGGAGGTAGATTCAAATGAGCATAAAATGCTATTCAAGTGACTATTTTTACTAGAATAGTTGATTATGCAATCAGTAAGTACTCAGTTGCCTGCCCAAAGCATCAGCATCTGGAATCCACCTAGTAGCTCTGTGAGTGTAGACTTAGCAACCCAGCTCCCATGGTGATCACAGCCCAAGAAATGCTAAGGCCATGTATATCCTATTGCGTAGGGTTGCTATCAATCAAAATTGACTTGATGGCTCACCACAAGTGTATAATTCTCATTAATTGAACACAGTGTAATTTTATGCATTGCAGCCAATGTATACAAGCAATTTGAATGTCTAAGATCTAACCTCAGGTTATTCTTAATATTATTCCACATGTTGGAATAGTGGAAAATGATTGTATTTTACTACATGCATTTCACCTCATTGATATACATTTGTTATTTTCTCTTCTGGACTGAATATGTTGGCTGCTTGCAAATTTCCCTACTTAACATTAATACGATATAAATGCTTCTACAATTTTTCTGTTTAAGCAACTAGATTTCTTCCAGATATCCAGCACCTTCTACAATATATAGCCTTGAGGGTAGAGTGAGTTCTGCATTGACCTGCTAACTATGAAATAAGCAGTTTGAAATCACCAGCCAGCCTCATGGTAGAAAGAGGAGGCTTTTTCCTCCTGTAGAGAGTTAGTCTCAGAAGCACACAGGGGCAGCTCTACTGTGTGCCGTAGGGTCTCTGTGAGTCCGAACTGATTCGATGACAGTGGGTTCTTTTAATTTTTTTTCATAGGATTGCTATGAGTCATAATCACCTCAATGGCATTGAGGTTTGTAGAAGCCCTGGTGGCATAGTATTTACATGCTGGGGTATTAACCACAAGGCTTTCAGTTAAAAACAATCAGGAGATTTTCAGGAGAAAGAGGAAGCTTTCTATTCCCATTAAGAGTTAGTCTCAGAAACCCACAGGGGAAGTTCTACCCTGTCCTATAAGGTAGCTATAAGTCAGAATCGATTCAATGACAGTGAGTGACTATATATATACATATATATGTATATATATACATATATATGTATATATATATATACATATATATATATATATAAAATCTGTTATCCAAGTCTATTTTTTAAATAGGGAAAATTGATTACAATGGATCCTGTTATTCATAACAATTGCAAATATCTTTGAAATTGTTTGAAAATAGGTGAAGTGATAAAAATTTAAGTAAAAACCAAAAATTACTTCTATATGAATATTGAATGCACAAGTTGACAAAAATTATTAGTAATGTAGAACTAAATCTGGGATATATTCTTTCATATTTTGTGAAAGCACATTAGGGTAGGTACAATACATGTACAGATCAAATATCAAAGATCCATGAAATATTGTTTCACTTGCTATCCAACACTTTTCCTCTGTTCCTTTCCCCTGAGATTTGCATTTTGAAAAGGGCCTTGTCATTGAAAGGATCACTGTATTGTAAAAATGAAAATGAAATTAACAGAAGATAGGAAGACTTCCCTCTGGATTCAGTATTTTAATTGTACATTAGGACATAAATTGGTGATAATGTGAAAGATAAAAGTGTTAAACTCTAGATCCTAAGCCTTACACAAACTAAATTTTAGATATTAACACTCAAGTTATACAGCTAGCATTTCTAGGAACTTCAGGTTTTCAGTCAATTTTATTTGTACAGTGTCAAAATTGATTACCTGTTGGTATTTTTATACAGTGAGAAACCATTCTAGACATACAATAAACATTGAACTGATTATGGTGTTGTTTGTGGTATTTTCTTTTCTTCTTTTTTATGCGGAGGTGGTATTGTATCCTTGAAAAACCAAGACTATTTAATTCTTATATAAAATGAGGTCATGAATAATAACTACTTCATAGGAATTTTGTGAGACAAGATGATATAATGTCATATAATGGAAACATTAATAACGCATAGTGAAACCTTATAAAATTGCTTATTTGGAATAGGTGTTTCTCAATGACTGGGCGGGTGCAAACCCTGTGAAAGTAGGTCTTTTCTACTTCTGCCTTTGAAAGTGAAGTAAATTAAAGATGCATATGCATCCATTCCCCCTTGCCTTTCTCCTTTTCTATCTTATCAAATGGACATCTATACATTTAGAAGTTAGCAGTGCTCTGAGAAACCAATGAAATGTGATCAATAACAAATGAATCTAGAATGGGTGCAACATACACTCAAAGCTATACAAAGATTAACCATTGCTTTTGAAGATGTAGCAGATATCAAATACAGCAGAAATGACATAAATACAAAAAAGAGTAAATGGTGGTAGGATCAACAAATACTGTAAATAAAAAAGAAAAGAGCATTTCTCATTTCTGTCATAAAGAAAAATTAGAGTTAGATGTGTGATGTAGAACTATTTCTAGGGACTCACATGGTGAAAAGATAATGTTGGGGGAAATTAGAGTTTATCTTTTATTCTTTTTTAAAACAAGAGCACAGTGCTAGTCTGTAGTCTGCTTGGTCTTACATTTATTCCTTCTCTTTCTGCTTTGTACTGAATCATGCTGACTGCCGTCTGCATTTCCAAGCCTCCCATTTTAGTTGTCAATTGCATTTGGAGGACTAGAAGCAGATAGAAGCCAACACACTTACCACTTACTAACTCTCTTGGAGTGCTGGTTACACTTTGGGTGAGGCATCAGGTCACTAACTGTAAGGTCAACGGTTCAAACCCATCATCCCATTTGTGGAAGACAGATGAGAGCTGCTCCAATAAAGATTTACAATCTCAGAAATCCTAAGGATGAACTATGAGTCAGGACTATGATTCAACATCAGCAACAAAAATGAGGCTCATATGCAAGTTTAGGCTGAAGCTAAAGAAACCTACAACAAGTCTCTGAGAACCAAAATAGACCTTGAGTATGTCCCACCTGGATAAAACACACAAACAAACTCAAGAACAGAGTTGAGGCACTGAACGCAGATAGGATGAGCTGTGGGATGACATCAAGTACATCGTACATGAGGAGAGCAAAGGGCCATTCAAAAGACAGGAAAGAAAAAACAACAGTCGACTTCGGAAGAAACTCTGAACCTGCTTTTACTCATCAAGTAGCTAAGGCACTTAGAAGAAATGATGAAATCAAAGAGCTGAGCAGAAAAATTCAGAGGCCAGCTCCAGAAGACCAAGTCAACAATTATAATGAAATGTGCAAAAACCTGCAGTTAGAAAACCAAACAGGAAGAGCACATGTCTGACATTGAAGGAGCTAAAGAAAACACTCAAGCCTGGAATTGCAATACTGACAGAATGATTCAGGACACATTAAAGGAAGATGCAAAAATACACAGTCACTGTACCAAGGAGAACCAGTCAACATTCGACCATTTCAGGAGGTAGCATGTGAGCAACAACTGATGGCCCCGAAGGAAGAAGCTGTACTGAAAGCCTCAACCAAAAATAAGGCCCCTGTGCTTGATAGAATATGAATTGAAATGTTTCAACAAGCGGTTGAGGTACTGGAAGCACACACTCATCCATGCCAGGACATTTGGAAGGCAGCTACATCCAAGGATTAAAGGAGATCCATATTTGTACTCATTCCAAAGAAAGGTGACCCAACAGAACTGATAGAACAATATCATTTGTATCATATCTAGGTAGAATTTTGCTGAAAATTATCTCACAAAGATTGCTGCAGTACATTGACAGAGAATGGCTAGAGGTTCAGGGTTCATTCAGAAGAGGACATGAAACAAGAGATATCAATGCTCATGTCATGTGGATCTTGGCTGAAAGCGAGAATACCAGAAATATGTTTACTTGTCTTTTATTAGCTATTCAAAGGCATTTCACTGTGAGGATTATAGCAAACTATGGATAGGCTTGAGAAGAACGGGAATTCCAGAACACTTCATTGTGCTCACAGGGACCTTCTGCATGAATTAAAAGGCAGTTGTGGGAAAAGAACAAGAAAATGCTGCACAGTTTAAAATCAGGAAAGGTGTGTGTCAGGATTTTATCCTCTCACCATGATTATTTAAACTGTATGCTGAGAACATAAAGAGAAGCTGGATTTTAAGAAGACGAATGTGACATCAGGGTTGGAGGAAGGCTTATTAACAAGCTGTGATGTGCAGATGACACAAGCTTGCTTGTTGAAAGGAGGTCTTGAAGCACTTGATGATGATCAAGGATAGCAGCCTTAAGTAGGTTTTACAGCTCAATTTAAAGAAGATCTAATCCTCACCAGTAGACACATAGGTGGCATCACCAAATACAGAGAAAGATTGCAGTTGTCAAGGATTTTGCATTGCTTGGATTCACCATCAATGCTTATGGAAGCAGCAACCAGGCGATCAAAGGATGCATCGTATTGGATACATTTGCTGCACAAGGATGTTTGAGGACTGACCCACAGTATTTTCAACTGCCTCATTTGCATTTGGAAGTTGGACATTGAATAAAGAAGACCAAAGAAGAATAAATGCCTTTGAATCATGGTGCCTGCAAAGAATATTGAAAGTAATGTGGGCAGACAAAAGAACAAACAAATCTGGCTTAGAAGAAGTAAGGTCTGGTGCTTTCTAAAGGCAAGAATGGCAAAACCTGGCCTTATATAATGTGGACATTTGTCAAGGGAGACCAGTCCCTAGAGAAGGATATCTTGATTGATAAAGAAGAAACCAAACTAAACAAACAAATTCACTGCCAAAGACTTCATGCTTATTCAGAGTGATTCTATAGTA